TCTTCCGATCTAGATATAATTTAATAAGTACTTTCAAAATATTTAATTTTATATGGAGATTATGCTTGTAAAGGCTGTGATAAAAATAAATAAATATTATATAGGTTTCTCAAAATACAAATTTTTATTTTTTTTAGTTTTAAGTTTAAAAGTAAATACAAAAATTATAAAAAATTGTCTAACCATCTTTGCTTAGACAAATATTTAACGCCTTATTTTGCAATTAAATAAATAACTATTCTGGATTAAACAGCTCACGGAACATCTGCATTCTTCGATCTATTTGATTCCTATTTCTATTACCTTGTAAATTGTTAATTTCATAATCCGCGGCATTATTTAAATCAATGTCATCAACAAAGAATTCGTCATTTTCATCATTTTCTTTGATAGCAATGTTATGCATGATACAAGCGGCTGTTATTAATTTTGGAATAAATTGAATATCGAGTAATTCTAAAAATTTTAAACGACGGAAACGCCCTTTTAAATAACCAAATGCTCTTTCTACTGGTATCCGTGTTGAATTGTGCGAAAAATTGAATTCAGACTGTTGTACTGTCAAGTGCCCGTTATCTTTAAATGGTGGTACAAGCCATGGTAGCAATGGGTAGGCTGAATCGCCTATTATACACGTTTCATTAGGAAAAATGCTTTCCATATCATCTTCTGCAGTAGCATAGAGTAACGATCTTCTTAAAACACGTGCATCGTGCAGCGAACCCGGTTCTCCACAATAAATATTTGTGAACTTCATATCTGCGTCTACCACAGCTTGTAACACGATAGAAAAATATCTTTTTCGATTGCAATAGTCTCTAGGGTAATCAACAGACTGTCGAATAGTAATATGCGTGCAATCTATTGCTCCGATACATTTCTTTATTCCTCGATTTGCCTCAAATTTTTGGGATGTTATAAGAATGGCATCATTTCCCTCTGGCCATTTTATCTCTTCATCCATTCTTGATAATAGCCATTCCACAACACGACGTATCACACGAAAAATTGAGGAAATAGATACATCGAATCTATCTCCTAAGGTTCGTAATGGTTCAGTATTTGCGAGATACCAAAGAAATATAAGAAAACTCCATTCAGCAGAGATTTTAGGCATACCACATGAGTGAGATGGAATAAAATCACTTTGTTGTAGCATGTCTGCAAATATAAAAATAAATATATACATATTTAAAAAAAAATAAATAATATACAATAATATTTAATATACCTATATTAAGATATGCTGTACGTCGCTGTAATCTAAAGTGCTCCTTGAATACAGAATCACTATATGAGTGAACAGTGTCAAGGAAACCTTGAACTTTGGTACGTCTTTTTCCATGCATGAGAAGTTGATATAATGGAAACAGTATATCATCTGCAGGATATTCGCTTGAGGATGCTGAATCAGATTCAGTGGAAAATATCTCACTAAAGGTATCGTTAAAGATATTCGAACTTGAACTACTGGTATTAGCAGAACTGGACGACAGATCAGCAGCGATTGTTATGATT